ATAAAATATAATATATATATAATATATAATATATATTAAATATAAATAAATATTAATTATACGCACACACATACAAATATATTTTATATAACTAAATTTATAAAAATGATAAAATTTTTAAATATTCTTACTCGTATCAGGGGTGTCTCATGAAGAAATCTACAGAAAAGGGCGGGGACTTGTTAGTCAACCCTATTACTATACATTGTTGCAATTGCAGATTGTCCTTATTCTTGAGAGAGCCTCTCATTGGATGTGCACGTGTACCAGATCACGTGACTATATATAACAAACGCTACTGGTCGTTTCGTCCCTTTAACATTACACGTACGTCATAAAATTTACGGTCACGTGATTATCGTCGCCATCTTGGCAGTTTTCGACGACGAAGGTAAGAAGGATCCGTGACGTCGAACCCAAATAAACACAAAGTATATGTGAATAATTCTGATATAAAAACGGTGTATATCAAGTGTCGAAGGAGTTGCATGTGTAGCCGAATATTTATCAGTGCTACGAACGGTCAGTGAATTTAAATAGCGCGGCATTTGCGATGTGTGTGTGTTTTGATTATTAGTCCTCTTTGTGGGGATAATCGCGATCGGCTAGCGACCACCACGGCAGCTGTTCGACAGTTGAGCCAGCCCTTATGAAGAGATGGCGGCAGCTTTCTAAATTTCAATGAATCAGTAAACATGAGTGTTTCAGCTTCTGATCGTAGATAAAAACAAAATATTATTTGTAAAAGAACGCCAAGGGACTTGCGATTGATTTGTTGGATTTTATGATTTGTATAGTTTTGATACCGAATAACACAATATAACCAGGGCCGTGACAATCCTCTCAATTCCCTTGCGCATTTCCCATACTTTTAACTCCTATCTTTTGTTAAATAGATTTTTTTCAATAGAATTGTTTTATTTGTTTTGAATGTATGCATTGCTCTTTATATCTCTTTGATAAATTGTAATATAAATAGATTATTATCATTATAATAATATAATTCATTTATGATATATCGATTGCCATTAACATACGTAACTTAATTAAATTATATTAAATATTTTAATAACATTTACGAATTGAAAATTATTTAATGGAATTTATAATATATTTTATTATCATTATTTTTATATTTAATTTATCGATCCGATAACGAAATTCGTAAATAATTTATCTCTTAAATTATATTTAAGCAAAGTATTTATTCTTTGAATCTTGCATCATTATTTTGCTTAAGTGCATGATCAGCAATATACGAAGAATCCTGAGAGAAATATTGTATATTAAAATTACAGTAGAATTTTTTAAATAATTAATATAAATTATTAAAATTGCAGAATTTTTCAAATCAACTAAATAAAATATATATTATATATTAATATTTCTAATTTTGTTTATTTAAGTATAATTAATATAATTATATATTTCTTTATTTTAATATGTATAGCATATTAAAATAAAAAATGACTGAATCATGTTTTTTTTTATATATTTTAAATTATTAAAACATTTAAATAATTCATAATTATTTTATATATTTTAAATATTTTAAATATATTTTTTTATAAAATAAACAAACGTATCACAGATAGATAGAATCCAGTTTTGTTATTTTATTTTTAAAATACAAGCAAAGAAATTACTCAGTATTTAATTAAATCAATATTTTTTCTTTCTTTTTATTATATTATATTATTAATTTTTGTTTCAAATTAATTCCATTCATACAAAAAACAGTTATATAGTGATAAAATAGTTGAAATAAAACAGAGATTATTAAATCTCTTGTTTATTTTGCGATTCTTTTTAATTTTATTTCTATTTAACTTTTATAAAAAAGAACCCATTTTTTTGCGACGGCCCTGGGCATAACTTTTTAACGTTTCCAACGTCGCGCCTGCCCTCTGGTGCCTAATTTTCAGCGATGAATGTTCACTATTTACAGGTTTTGTGAATAAATCGTGTATCGTGTGTATAAGGACAAATCGTAACTCCACCGCCGCCACTGAAGATTGCAGGTTGTGAAAATGTCGCGGTATCAGAAAATTGTTTAGGACAGCAAGCGGTCAGGTGCGTATATTTGTGCCTGGTGACAGGAGATGGATGGAGTACGCGTTCCATTACCTCATAGATCTGCCGGGATTCGTGGATAGCGAGTTAAGTAGCACGAGACATGTCCCGAACGAGCATACTGAATGGAATTCCTTATGTCTTCAATCACTCGAATTCTTTTTCGCGTTTTCCGAATTCCAAATAATACTATTATTTTCAACGATGAAGCATGTTGCATCAAGTTAAGCATTCGTGTAGGTTAAAGTATGCTCAGCATCTTTTAGGAGAATGTGATTTTTTTAAAAGAATGTGTTGTGTTTTTTAAACGGATTAAAAAAGAAAGTTTATCTTAATTTTATTATATTTTATACACTAGATAAGCAAAAAACTTTTTTCAACGAAGTTTCGGAGTGTTTGACATGACTATAAGCAGTAAATGGAAAAATTCTAGTAGGATTTTGGATGTAAACGCTAATCGGATGGATCACATTTATATATATACATAATTTAACAAAATGGTATGCGTTTATCTAGTTCTTTTTTCGTCTATATTAGAATGTTTGTTTGTCACAGTTTTTCTTGTCACATGGATGTAAACTATTGAATATTTGTAAGGAAATTCATTTAAATGTTGTATTGTCGTAGGAAATCAATCTGTCATATTCAGATTCGGTAGGTCATAGGGTTGTTCTGTAGGTGGTTGGCGTGTTGTCCGGCATGTAGTATAGAGTTCGGAAGGTTGTGCGCTCGCGCGCTCACCTATGGACGATTAAGGCGTGTGTGCGTATGATTGCGTGTATGTTTACATATATGTGAATGTATAGGAAAGGCGAAAGTTCGATGTGTAAGTTGTAGATATAGGTGTAGGTTGGTAGGTTGTGAAGGTTGAGTGAAGAGAGGTACGGTGGAGGGCTGACTGGCTGGCTGGCTGGCGCTCGGACGCGGTGGCTAGCGAGTGCAGGTGACTGACTGAGAGACGCTAACCATTCAAGCTACTACACAGGATTTCGCTTATTCGATCATTTTTATTCATTAGTAGTTCTCTGTTCTTTAATCGTTTCTATAATCTGTGTGTGCCAAAACTTTTCCAAACCAAGTGAACGCATTTCGGTAACGCGTCGACTGGAGAGTAACATACTACGAACTTTGTTGGTTATGGGAACAAGGAAATAGGAGTACGGAATTCGCAGCGCCATTTTGAAAAATTCGGCCCCGCTAAAAATTCCCTCTCTTTCCCCGCCCTCGCGTTCATATCGTCGATGTAATGAAACGCGTCGTCGCCACGAGCCGCTTATTCCTGTGTTCTTATTAATTGTTTAGATCAACTGCACAGTGGTGGCCCCATGGAAGGCACGCTGGAAGAACCCCCTATTAAGGACTCGTCTCAAGCTAGTCCTGATAAGATTCTTAAAGGTATAATATTCCATTCTTGTTTGAAATTATTAGAACAGCCTTCTGATTTCTTTCAATTTTCATTTTTATATTTATTTCACATTTTTTTTGATTATTGTTAAATAATGACATTAGATTTTTAATTTTTTCTTGACATTATTCTATTATCATTTAATTAAATTTGGGTGTCATTAAAAAACTGTACTTTATTTATATCGTATAGAAATATTTCTCATTTAATATATATTAAATTATATTCTTTAATTTATGTTAATAATTATCAATAAATACATTTCATTAAATAATTTTAGTAATTTGATTAATAATCTGTAATTAGATTATTGAAAAATATTAATAGTTTTCTTTATTTGTCATGTAATATTTAAATATGATATATATTTAACATAAAAAAAATATTAACATTTTGTATAAACATATTTTATTATATTTTGCAGATGTGATTCCAAATGGGATTAATGGAAATTATAATGACAAGGAAGAATTCATTGATGCAGATACTAATATATCCAAACTCGTGTCAAAAGAAATTAGTAGTGTAGTAAAAGAAAAAAGGGAGGCAAATGGAAATGAAGATGATGAGGACAAACATAGAATGGAAGTTGAAATTGAAGAAAGGGATTTAGAACCTGAAAATAGTGAACAGAATGGGATAGCACAAAGTAGAAGTAAAAGAAGTGAAATGTCAGAGTCAGAAAATGACTCTAAAATGTCTAAATCCTCAGAGGGTGTCAGTGAGATAAACAATTTTAGTGAAGTGTCTAAGACTGAAGATAAGTGTAAAAACACATCATGTGAATCTATGGAAGTTGATGAACAAAGTAATAATTCAGATGTTGAATGTCTTGATGAAAATATAACAGAAATACATTCAGATAATGATGATGTGTTCACTATGAAAAATTCTGCCCTTAAAGATAATAAAGATTCATCAGGCAGTAGTGATTTACAAATTAATGTCAGTAGTGACATTGCTGATAGTAGCATGGATACATCTGATGTGAAAATCTGTGAAGAAAATGGAAGTTGCGATAGTCCTGATATTGAAGAAATAACTGATAGTGCAAAAAATGGTCACAATACTTCACCAGAACGTGCTAATAAAGATTCAAAACAAAGAAAATCTAGAAAGCAAGTAGATCTTAGTAGTATTACGCCAAGAAGAAGTTCTCGTAATATAAAGAGGACAAGTTATATAGAAAAAGAAATAGAAGAGGAAGTGGATGATGATGGTTCAGATATTGAAGAAATTAAGCCAGAAGATCCTTTAGCTGGTGTTGATAGTAAAGACAAAGAAAATTCTAAATTAAAATCACCAGTCAAAAATAGTAAAACTACTATTGTAGTTAATGACACTAAACGATTGGTAGAAATTGCTGCTGGTAGTAAATCTGTAAAAGGAGGAAAAAAAGAACCTACTTTAGTTATTATAGACACAAATTCTATACTCTCTGGGCGTGGTGGTGTTCCTGTGAGTAGCAGTAAACCCCATCACACTGTTTCTAGTACTAGTTCATTTTCAGTAGTTCCAATGGGAATGACAACACAAACTATGTATCCTAATATGAGGACAACTATTACACCAGTGCCCATGACATCAAAAACTGCACAATTGAGCCCTAAAACTACTAGTATGACTACAGTAACACCAACAGTAACGCCTCCTATATTACCTACTTTAACTGATGATATGTTTGTGGTAGAAGCACCATCTTTTATAGTACCATATGTATATGAAAAACCACCTCTGAAACCATTAAAAGAATTTGTTACAAAATTGGAAAAATGTTTAGAAGAACAAGAAAAGGAAGAAAGAAGCCAAAGAGGCATAGAAGAAAATAAAAGAGAAGAATGTGATGAAGATTCATTAGATATGAATCAAAAAAATAAGGATAAAAGTGAAGAAAGTGAAAATGAAGGAAACTGTAAGAGTAAAAAAGATGAAGACAGAGGTGACAATTCATTAGATATAACTGAATCTGGATTTAGTAACATAAGTGATAAACAAGATATACGGCAAGATGATAGGAATAAAGTACTAACATATTTTGATTTACCATTGGGAAAATTTTTCATGCAAATTGGAGTGAATCTTGTTCAAGAATATGTGCAAACTGATCTTTTACGGACTCAAAAACGTAAACAGGGCAAAGGTAGCACATCGGCTGAAACTCAATTAGCTATAAATTCGCTCATTAAGAACTTAGAATTTAGTAAAGAAAATAATGAACCATTCCATTTAGAACTGAAAAAATGTGAATTCTGTAATTTTAAAACGGAATCAACTTTAGTCATGCAACATCATTTAGAAACTCCACATATGCGCAATTATGTCTACAAGTGTAATTTTTGTCCAATTGAAGTGCGTAGTCCTCATGATATTTTATTCCATATGGAAGCAGAACATAATACTCGCGGGAGGTTGGAACGGGGTCCAGCTTTTCATCAATGTCCTAATTGTCCATTTGAGGATAACCAAAAAGGGAAATTAACACGACATATACTTGCTTGTACTAAGAAATTTAGACCAGAAAAAAATCTCGAACCAGCTGCTGATTGGGAACCTCCAGCAAAAATTCCAAGATTAAATCGAGCAAGGCCTGTTGCACCAACTAATCCCAGTGCACTTGCAATGGCAATGAGTGGTAAAGGACCTCAACCACTTTTACCAAAATTACTTCCTGCTCCAGTCACTGGTCGCGGAAGAGGACGGCCACCTATGCAACCAAGATATTCAGATTTGAAAACGTTACGACCAGGTGGTACAACAATGCGACAAGGTAACTATTTATTATTTAAAATTAATATATATTATATATTAATAATATATAAAGTTATATTGATTTTATAAATTTGATTGTAATATATTTTGTATTTTAGATAATGTTGCAGGAATGATGTATCGTCCAACATCATCTGGTTTGTTAGTCCCTACTTCGTATCAATTTGGTAGTAACCAAATATTTCAGGTAAAAATATTTTTATTTCTTATAATTTATCTATTAATAATAGAAAAGCATTGAAGTATTTTTATAATATATGGAATATATAATTTTTTTTTAAATATTTTGGAATTATGTTGCATATTAAATATATTTTAATATCATTATTGTAATTTTTTTAATAGTATGGGCAATGATAATGATGTAAAGTCATGCCCTTAAAGTAATCTAGTTTTTAATTTTAATTAAAATGTATAAGCACACATATGATATGCACATATATACACACAGATATCTATTTATGCTTATGTCTTTCCTTGAAAATTTTTATAATAATTATATTATTAATCAATATGTTGTATGTATAAAAAAGTATTTAAAAAAGTGATTTCACTATATTTTGTATATTGCATTTAAAAAATGATTAATTTATTAATCTTATGAGAAGAAAAAATCTAAATTATATATTTATTTTATAATTCACATTTAGATATTTTATTTTCTATTTATCCATTAACAGCAGCATATATTAATTTTTTTCTATGAATTTTCATCGAAACCATTCTGTTTTTATCGATATTTATAAAAAGCTACAGGTTCACAAATTCAAGTAAATAAAAATTTAAGAATTAGTAAAAAAATATATGGGTGGTGACAGGTGGTGGGTGGCTCTGGGACTGTCATGTCGGCTGTCTCGGGAGTGAGTAGCAGTAGCGGCAGTTCCGGTCAACCCACACCCATTGCACTTGTACCCAACGTAATCGACTCTCTCTCTAGATTGTCCTCATCACAGGTAAATAATTGTTGGAACCTATCAGGAAGATTAAATTGATTTTATAAAGTTTGTGATCGCATGGATAACATGTTTCGCAGGTGAAAAATGGCTTTCATAACCGATTTCTTGAGATTTATATATTAATTAAAGCTGTACACAATTGCTTATAGGATTTAACAATATATGTAAAGTTATGGCTAAACATATCATTAGTGTGCAGTGCAATTAGTTTCGTAATTATTAATTTCAGCAGTATATTTTGATCCTTATAATATCTTGCAAATATTTAATTTTTTTCTTGATATTCATATAATTCATTGAGAATTTTTATAACCTTTTGTATTATCGTTATAAAATTGATCAATAATGTAAATAATAAAATAAATAATAATGTAAATAATAAAAGTAGTCATAAAATAAAAAAATTTTGATGAGATATAGTGTGTTTGGCAATAACCTAATTAAATCAAAAACTTTTTCAATCAAAAAATAATTAATTTTCTTAAATATTATTATATTTAAAATAATGCATTTTATATTTTTCAGAATACAACAACAAGTCCCAAAAATCCTACAGCAAAATTGTTAAGTCAACCAAGTATATCTATAACTCCATTACCACGTACAACATCTCAATCCTCTATTCCTGGTTCTGGAACTTCATCAAAATCTGGAGGAAAAACCACATTTGTTATATGTGAAATTTGCGATGGGTATATTAAGGTAAATTATATTAGATTTATGTTGAATTTTGTTTGTTGAATTTTTATAAAATAATATCTCATATCTTTATGATGATCTTTAATTATTTATTTATAATATAAATTTTTATTATATTCAAATTTTTTATGAATTTATATAGATATATTTGTTATCATTAATTATATTAGAAAAATATGTATCTAAGTATCGAATAGAGTGCATTTATTATTTTATTTTATTTTTCATGAATTTTCAAAAAGTTAATATTATGATTGTCACTTTTAAAAATTTATATTTATATAATTTAATATTTATATAATTTTTGATATAGTTATTTTCAAATTATTTTCAAGTTAAGATTTAAATAAATAATTTAAATTTGAAAAATAAATTAAATAGAATATTTAATGAAAATTCAAGAATATTTTTATTAATAAAAAATATTTAAGTAAAAGTGGAAAATATTAATAAAAAACTAAAAAATAATATCTAAGCTATTAAAAAAGAAATTAAATTCAAGAAAAACAATGAATTATGAGATTTATTCAATTTATTGTTTCATATTTAAATAATTTTAATAATACTTTTTGTAATTAAATTATTATAATTATAATTATTATGTTTTATATATTATAAAATTATATTTTATTCACTATTTCATCACTATACAATTGATATATTTTTTATAAATTATTTTTTTCTTTCAGGATTTAGAACAACTACGTAATCATATGCAGTGGATTCACAAAGTTAAAATACATCCAAAGATGATTTATAATAGACCTCCATTGAATTGTCAAAAATGTCAATTTCGGTTTTTCACAGACCAGGTATGTATAAATATATTATTTCTTAAATAAATTTCATATTTAAATTTAAATTTAAATATAAATTAACATAATAAATAATACATAATACATATATTAATATGCATATTTATTATTTAAAAAAAAATTAATATTATTCCAAAGTATTATATTTTTATTATAAATTTTTAATATATTATTATCTATAAAAATAAAATTATAATAATATTAAATTTTTTATTATTATAGGGTCTGGAAAGACATTTACTTGGATCTCATGGCTTAGTTACAT